TGAAGTATTTATTCCTGCTTTCCTTTATTGTGTCATCTTTCTTTGAATCCTTCCTCAAATCTGAGGCCTAACAATGGTCTCTAAAGTGGCACTAGAATGAAATTTCTGAATGGGATATGGACATGCACATAGAATAGAGAGAAAAGAGAAACAAAGTACCAAAGGTAAGCTTGAGGATAATTAGGCAACAACAATAATAATAAATAGCTTTACAGAAATAATAGCATGAAAGAATAAAGAGACACAGCAGAATAACAATGAAGAGGAGAATAGTAAGATCATCTCCACGGAGGAAAAAGAATGAGGAAAGATGGACAAAGGAGTAGAGCAGAGAGAGAAGGAGATGAGAAGAGAAAAAGGTGAACAAAAGTAGGAAAACTGCTTTTAACAACAGATTTTTCCAAGTCAGTGGAACAGAGTGTTACATCTACAAAGAGAATAATTAAGTCTAAACCATTTAAAATTATAATCGCAATGATAAATAAAAATACCTTGCTTTTAAGGAAAATATCAAATGACAAGGCCCAACTCAAATTAGCTGCACAGAGTAGAACTGCATCTGAATTTTATCACGGAATCCTCAAACCTATTAATGGCTAACTTTGGTGATGAAGGTCTATTCAGGAAAGAATAACTTAAACTGATTCCTAAAGTATTAAAGAATATATTGGCAGGGGTGATTTTACCATTTTAAGAGTTCTTCCTTTTCTAAAAAATACCAGCTTCTCTTTAGGAAAAAGATGAACAATCTCCTCCCATGAGATTTGCACCTTCTGAAAAATCTGCTGGAGAGTGAAAAACCTGGCAAGACAGCATAACAACCAAAACAACTGTCTTGACTAAAGACACAAAAATAAAAAGTCATGGCTATTAATGGGATTTATTTAAGGGATAATCTTGGAGTAGCTCTTCCAAAATAGCAAATTATTGTAATATGGCAACTTTTCCTCAGTGCAAAATTAGGATACAAACATATTCTTTTATATCTCAATAAGGGGTTACTTATATTTTTAAAAGGAAAATAAAGATAAATTCAAGCCAGATCGAGCAAAACCATGGCTATAATCATCCTGCCTAGGAGCACACCTATAACCACCCAGTTTGTGTGTCAGTCAGGCAGGCACCAACTTTAACTTGAGACCTGCAGGTCGTATTTTGCATTAGATGGTGGAGGTTTAGAGGCCAGGGCATTTGGAATACTTCTGCTTTCAAGGATCTGAGCCATAAATGTTTATTAAAAGAATCTATAATGAAATCAGTTTTGTTATTTTTTTAATGGTTGCCTAGAGTGTGTTGGATGACTGAACGCCAGTAGTTAATCATTAAGTACTGGTGCAACCAAAAGTGTTTGATAGTATTGCCATCTAGGGGCTGAACGGAATACTCAGCTCTGAAATAAACTGGAATTAAGCAGGTGTTTCTATTGGCAATATACATATGTTTTGCTTTATAGACCACATGCTTTTCATGTTTCTTGTGACAAAAGCTATCTCTAAATGTCCCCCAACAGCCTAACTTTTTTATATATAATCTGTTAGAGGTGATTACTATTTGCTTTGGAGATTTTCTCTTTTCTTTTTTTTTTTGCATCTATTACTATTGAATATTCTGAACAAAGAATTATTCTTTTTTGCATTATTAATCTTGCCCATGTTTGCCCTATTTCCACAGAAAAGAAATCATTTATCAGAAAAGAATGTTTGTAATCGGAACTTGTAGCATCTTCAGATTTAATATTCATTATGGCCATCCTAGTCTTGTGCTATATTTATCTAAAAGACCAATCTAATGTTGTGGGGAAATAAGTTTTAAATATTTATGATCTAACTTTTAATATTTTAAAAAAGAGAAATTAGTATTTCTGTAAAATGTGTTTCAGAGTCTGGTGGCTTAGCAAATGTTTAAATATTAAAAGATTTCAAGAGGTTAGCATGTAATATCATAATAGGACTTATTGAAACAGGAAAATTGACTTCACAAGTTTTTGATCGGCGAAGGAAATTGTATTTTCTCTACCCATGTTTAACACATAATAGGAAACATTAACACAGTTAAAACCTATAACCAAGAATGAGGACAGTGTCAGAAATTATTTCTACAGTGTATTTTGGTTTCATCTAACCAATCATTTAGAAAATAGTTCGATTCCTTGTTGTCTTCTTGTTTTGTATTTTATTCAAAATATTATTTAGGGGTTGGTTCTATGACTTGGTAGTAAGGCGTTAAAATACTAACTCAAAAGACATACAATTTGAATCTTCTAGCTTCTCCAAGGGAAAAAGATGAGTAATTTCCTCCCAGGAGATTTGCAGCCTCTGAAAACCAGCTGGAGGCTTAGAGAGAAATCAGTTCCAACTCAGTGACACACAGCTAATTAAGGAAATTTTCCTTACTTATAACTTTATCTGATACTCTTGAACACCTACTCTCAAAAACTTAAATTCCTCTTCTCTGATTCATAGTCCATCTCCCCTGCCCACCAAGATAAATGCCATCAGTCTTTATCCATATGGAGTTGTGCTAATAACCCAAAGGCTGCAACTCTTTATTTAAATCCACTAGCAGATGCCCAGGAGAAAAATGGGCAATCTCTTCTCATGAGTTTACCACCTTGAAACCCAAGGGAGGGCTGGCTGAGTTTGTTCTGACTCGAAGGCAGGGAGTTATTACATTTAAACAACTAATAAACCAAAGCTGATCTGATATACCATTAAATGTAGATATCTTTTTAAGCCAACTAAAGCGTCCTCGTGACTTCTTCTTGTTAGGTACTGTTGAGTTGAGTATGGCTCATATTGAACCTGTGAATGACAGATCTGAGCCCTTTCCTATCCAATGTCATTTTCATAATTTCTGGCATACGTGAGCACATTACTGCAGACATTGTGTCAATCCATCTCATTAATTGTCTTCTCTCTTTTGCTGACCCTTAACCTTTCTAAGCATGATGTCCCTTCCCAAGGAATATCCTCTCCTAACAGCATGCCCAAAGTATGTGAGGCAAAGCTTTGTAATATTTGCCTTCAGGGAACACTCTTTTTTTTTTTCAATGTTACTCTTAATTTATTGATCCACACAGTTGAATGCCGTTGCATAGTCAAGACAAGTTTACGTCACAGTATTATTCTCTCCTTCCAACCAAGATCCATCTAACATCAGCAATGGTATTCCTAATTCCACAGCCTCTTCTGAAACCAGTTTTCTTTTGTTGATGTATTGTTTAAGCAATTTTTGAACAATCATCAGGATTTTACTTGTTTGTGGTATTAATGATATCTGATGATTTCTGTACTTTGTAGCATCACCTTTTTTGGAATGGAATGAGAATAGATATGGGTCTCTTCCAGTCAGTTGGCCAGAACCAGAAAGTTGTTTCCTGTCAAGGAACACTCTTGCTGCACTTTCTCTAAGACATACCTGTTCAGTACTCTTCTCCAACACCACAGCTCAAAAGCTGATGAAGGTTTTCCCATCATCTTTATTTATTATTCAACTTTCCACTGTAAATGTGAATAATGCTCATGACTATGCACATCCATGTTGTTATTCTGTACCATCGAGTCACCTGCAATTCATAGTGACCCTATGTATAACAGCTCTGAAGCCTGCCCTGTCCTGATCCAGTAACACTGACTCTGATGCACCTGTCCCCATTACCCCAGTTACTGTATCAATCCATTTCACCCAGGGTCTTCCTCTCCTGTGCTGTCTCTCCACCCTTCCCTACTGTCCACGTGCCCAAAGTATGTGAGACAGAGCTTCAAAATCCTAGCCTCCAAGGAAAAACTGGGCTTTACCCTTCCTAAGAGAAACTTATTTGTTTTGTTGAAGGTATGGTACACAAAAAAAATTTTGTATATGTATTTAGTTATATATATTTACCTATATATACACACACACACATATATATGTGTATATACAAACAAGCATACAGGCGTATCCATCCAGCTGAGATATAGAAAAAGCATGCAAGAGCCTTTCAAATATTAGGGTTCTCATCTCTAGATGTATAAAATTTGCTAAATGCCACTCTCCAGGCTGGAGATAAAAGCAGTGTCTCTCTCTTTCTCTTAAGGAGCCCTGGTAGCAAAGTTAATGGTTAAGTGTAAATGCTCACATGCTGACTTGTCTGTTGTAGGATCCCATCAGAACTCTGCAGAAGAAAGAGGTGGCAGGCTGATTTACAGCTTGGAAAACACCAAAGAACAGTCTACTCCATCCTACCTGATTACCATGCTGATGAACCAGTTTGATAACAATGGGTTTGGGGCATCTCACCCTTTAACTTTCTTTTAAATCAACAAAGATAAAATTCCTGTGGTCCAGGTTACAATCACTTATGGTGAATGCCACAGATGTCATTATGATACTTTCAACAAAGGAGAATGTTTTCACATATAGATATGAAAAGCTGCTTTCCCTAAGGGTGTTTCTGCAAATCTATTTTGGTTGGCTTGTTGTTGTTTTCATGTGTTTGGGGTTTGGGGGTGGCTTTGTTTTGCATCTGTACTATAACTATACACCAAAAAACTTAGTGGAAACTGAGGAGATATGGTCTTATGTCTAAACAAATGGTGTTGTGAATTAATAAAAAAAAAGTTTGGTTGTTCTGAATAAATCTCCAAACTCTTAAGATTAACCCTGTGGACAGTTACCGTGTTCAGCCTGGTAACTTGGTCTCAGTAATCGTCGTCAAGATGCAGCCCTGGCCTGAGGAGCAGGGATTCTTATGATTACAAGTCACAAGATTTGGGCAGTCAGCTCCTACAAGGCAAGGATTCTATGAATCCATACTCTTTGATTCATAAGTCACGCAACAAGGGTAATATATTCAGAACGTCCACAGAACAAAAATAAAACACAACATTGTCTTCTAAATGATGAGTTAAAACCTGCTATAGTTTTTGTGCTACTTTTGCTGTTATACCTAATAAAAAGTTCAGATTACTCTCAAATTACTAGGAACTTCTAAAAGAAAGTTAACATGTCTTTTCTTACAGGGAACAAGCTTTCAGGCCCACCTGTTTGGGTTAGAACCATTCACAACATACCATGTTGGTGTTTCGGCTGCAAACAAGGTGGGAAAAGTAGCAAGCCCCTGGATGCTGGTTCAGACTTTGGAATCTTCTCCAAGTGGGCTGAGCAATTTCACAGTGGAACAGCGAGAGAATGGCCACGCACTGTTACTGCAGTGGCTAGAGCCTAGACGAACCAATGGTGTGATTAAGGTAATGTCTGTCTTACATACAAATACATGTTTGGTGTTGTCCTGTTAAATAGATGAGCCCTGACATGCCATCAGGTCACTGTAGGAAACCTCCCTTCACAGCCTCTGTAATTCTCCTTGATGTTTCCTCCAGGCACTAAATCATAGAGAAAACTAGCTCTCGTGTGTTATGCTTCCAAGGACCCTAATGTTAGGCTAAGCGCTGTCCATGACTATCTCATTTAATCCTCTCATCATCCTTCCTGAGTGGACACCACAAAACCTCATTAGACACATTGTTAGTATTAAGTGGTGTCCCATTGTTTTTTTGACTTAGACCAAGCCTATATGGCAGAGTAGAAATATCTCACAGTGTTTTCTTGGCTGTAATCTTTGCAGAAGCAGATAGCCAGGCCTTTTCCCAGGAGAACTGCCAGGCCAGGTCAAACCTTTTGGTTTGCAGCCAAGCACGTAACTTTTGCAGCATAAGACATATAAAGGTAAAATAACCTCCCAAGTCCGCATTGTAAATGATCAAATCGGGATTTAAAGTCAGGAAGTCACACCAGGGCTGAACTCTAAATAGCTGTGTTCTTCCTGCCTCCTGAATTATCCTACCTAGTTATTTGCTTAAGCCTTGACTAATTTGCATTTTGAACAGAGCTCTCTAAGCAAAAGGCAGGAAGCCACACTTATCTGCTAACTCAACTTCTGTATATAGTCACTAGAAACAGTCCTATAAATGTTACACATATAACTTAGACTTCCCATCCTAAATGAGATCTCATGTCTACTAATAATAGCCCACATCTTGATGCTTTGAGACCTTACTCAAGAGCTCAAAAGGGACACCTTCTTTCCCTTGCTGAAGGTCATATCTAAAGGTGTGGGACTCCTCTGTTAATCTAGGCTACTGTCTCAGCCTACAGTCTCCTCTGGCCCTTCATCCTATGCAGCCTGCAAGCCTGCATCTGCTATCAGCACCCTGCCCCCTCCTTCACTGATATTCTTAGCTGCCACTGAATAGCTCCCAAGTCATAAAGATCCCAAGCACAGTAGAGTGGTACGTTGGTTCAATAGATGAATTTTCACTTTCCATGCAGACGATTTGGATTCGATTCCTAGTCAATGGCATCCGTCAGTCATAGCTTGCATATTGTTTTGATGTTTAACAAGTTTTAGCGGCTTCCAAACCAATAGAGAGTAGGACAAAAGACCCACGAATCTCCTTTATTACGCCTTCTCCTGGTAGCAAACGTTCCCCCCATTAATTCCAAACGTAATAGTTAAAAGCCTGTTAAAGAAATGAAGTCTTTATTAAAGACATGCCTTTTAATAAAGATTTCCTGAAAGACTGAGGAAAGGGAGGGCAGGAGGAAATCATACACAGTAAGAACTTAGAACTAGAGCAGGCCCCGGTCCATCCGCATGGATGCCTCTCTGCCTCGCTTCAGGCCTGCTGTGTGTGGCAGAAGCAATTCTCTCTGCACCAGTCTGTCTCCATGTGACAGAGTCAGACTTCCCCCACCCTGAGGCAGAAAACTTGAGCCTTAGGATCTATGACTTTAAAAATCCAAGCCATAGCCCTAAGGCTCTCATTAAAAAAAAAAAGAGCTTTTCCCTTTATATCCATCAAAGCAACCTCCTCTTTGTTTTCTTCCTATCCCAGAGATAGCCTCTTCCCTGACAAATCAAAATAGAAATATAAACTCCTTTTACCTTCACTTATATTTCACCAAGTATTTATCGAACTTCTACAAAGTGTCAAGTACTGACTTGGAGTGAACAAGACCAGTAAAATTTCTACTCTCTTAGACTTCACATGTTTGTATGCCTAAGTGAGCGGCTGAGTGAGATGATATGAATGGTGAGGGTACTGAGAAACAAATGTTGTTGTTATTATGTGCTGTTGTGTCGCCTGCAACTCATAGCAACCCGATATACAACAGCCCTAAACTCTGCTCTATTCCTTGCCAATCTTACTGTCTCTGACATACCTACCCTCATTACCTCAGTCACTGAATCAATCCATTTCATCAAGAGTCTTCCTCTCCTCTGCTGTCCCTCCATCCTCCCAAGCATGACATCCCTCTCCAAGGTCTGATCCCACCTTGCAACATGTCCAAAATATGTCAGACGAAGCTTCAGAATCCTTGCCTGCAAGGAGCAGCCTGGCTTCACCCTATCCAGGAAAAACTTGTTTGTTCTCCTAGCAGTCCATGGCATATTCAATACTCTTCTCTAGCTTCACAGCTCAAAGGCATCAACTCTCCTTCTATTATCCCTAGTCATTGTCCTGCTCTCTGATGCATAGCAAATAATTGCAAGGACCATGGCCTGGACAGGCACACCTTAGTCTCCAAACTGACATTGTTGTTCCTTAGTACTTTGGAGAGGTCTCTGACAGCAGAATTACCCAGTGCAATTCTTCTTTTAATTTCCTGGCTGCTGAGAAGCAAATAGTAAGCTAATAAATAAATACACAAGGAAATTTCAGAGAGTGATGAATGCCACACACACACAGACACACACACACTTAGTAATATAATTATGTCTGACTCAGGCTATTTTAGAATGGATGATCATTTGAATTGAGTTGACATCTGAGCTGAGCCCTAAATGACAAGACAGAGTCAGTCACATGGAGATATGGGGGCAAAATGTTCCAGACAAAATGAACAACAAATGAAAGGCCTGAAGCCAGGAATGAACTTGGTATGTTAAAGGAAAATGAATAAACCTATGCAGATAGAACAGTAGGAGAGAAGGAAAGATGGCACTGGAAAAGCTTAGAGTACATGGATAGGGAGCAGATCACTCTCTACCTTGTGAGCTGTGGTATTAGCACAGAATTTATTCTAAATGAAATGCTACTGAATGCTTTAAGGGAATAATAGCAGGATCGAATGTATGCATTTAAAAATTACTCTGACTGTTATGCAGAAAATAAATCATAAGGAACCAACAAAGTTTGAAAGATACAGAAAAAAAATCAGAGTAGAATCAAAGGGAGTTTGAATTAGGGTAGAAGTTGTGAAGGTAGAAAAATAATGGCTAAATTGGAGACGTTTTGGGGTTGTTATTGTTGTTGTGTATCACTGAGTTGGGACAGACCCATAGCTGAACTTCCAGTGGGCTTTCAGGGGCAGTTAATCACATGGCAAGAGATGGCCTGTTTTTCTTCTGTGGAACAGCTGGTGGACTTGAACCACATGCCTTTGAGATTGCAGTACAGCTTCTTACCACGAGGCCACCAAAAATGGCAAAACTTATTAAAGGACTGGATATGTGAAATATCAAAGAAGAATGACTTTGAGCAGTCAGATAGCTAGCTGGAAGTGTTAAATCTAGAAGTTTGGAAAGATTTATTCACTAAGATGTATATGTGGAGATCATTAGCATATAGCTGGCATATAAATCCATGGGGCTGGAGATCAGGTATGGAGAGAATGTAAATTGAAATCATAAGAACCTAAGTTTGAACCCTGCATATATTAAAGCATGGAGATCAAGATGAGGAAGAAGACTTAGCAAAGGATTGTGAGAAGAGTCAGTGAAGTAGAAGTAAAAATAGTGTGTGAGATATCCCAGAAGTGAAGAGAAAATACAGCAAATGCCCCTGAGCAATTAAGTAAAATGAAGCCCATGAAGGAGCCCTAGATTTGGAAATGAGGAGATTATTTTGATCTTGGCAAGAGGAGTTGCACTCAAGGGGTAGAATAGGAAACCTGGTTGGGATTACTTGAGAGTATACAAATGAAAAGTGAGTGCAATAGATAGGGGACTCTTCAGAAGAACTGAACTGAAAAGAAAGTAGAGAAATGAAACACCAGAGAATGAAACATATGAAACATAGAGAAGTTCTATTTGGAAATGCTAGACTAGATTTAAATACTATGAGAGAAAAATGGTCCATCTCCTCCAGCGTGATTTACAGCCTCTGAAAAGCTACTATAGGGTCAACTATGAGTCCATTTCAACTCAACAGTTGTTGGTGATGGGAGTGGGAGTGGTGACCATCAAGTCAGAACCTAGTAATAGCTGACTCTTCAGTGGGTTTTCAAAGGCAGTAAACCACATGGGAGGACGTTGCCCATCTTTTTCCCTCAGAGCAGCTGATAGACTCAAACCATGTACCTTTGTGTTGGCAGTGTGGTTCCTTGTTACTAATGCTAATGACTCAGTAGAGAAAGATAATTTGTTGATGCAAGAAGTCATGAGATCAATTTCAGAGAGAAAGTAAAATATAAGACCCAATATTCAATCGACTCTTAGTCACTACAGAGTTAATTCCTTAGGAAGTAGGAGGAAGGCAAGTGATACAGGTCTAAATTCATGTAGAATCCAGAATTAGCCACGCTGTGTAGTTAAGAGCAGTCTCCTTGCACGCAGTTGATGGTGTGTGCCGTTGAGTCAAAACTGAATTATAGCTGACACTCCAGCAGGTTTTCAGAGGCAGCAAATCATACAGGAAGAGATTGCCTATCCTCCTTTCTACAAAGCAGCGGGTGAATTCAAACTGTGTGCCTCTGATATGGCAGTGCAGCTTCTTACCACTGGGACATCAGAGCAGTTGTTGTTGTGTACCATCAGATTGGAACCATCCCATAGCTGATCCTCCAGTGAGTTTTCAGAGGCATTTAATCACTCGAGAAGAGAATGGCCATCCTTCTCCCAATGAGCAGCTGGTGGATTTGAACTCTATGCCTTCAGGAACACAGTACAGATTCTTACCACTCGGCCACCAGAGCTCCCTAGGCCTACCAAAGCAGTAGGCTCATGTAATTGTCCTATATCCATGGGTCAGGAATTAGGCAGAAGGCTTCTCCTACCTCACTGTTATGGGGGCTGATGAACCCAAAATTGGCAGCTCAGTCAATGCACACTTTTGGCTCGTGGATCTGTGGGACTAGAAAATCCCAAAATCTACAGCAGCTCTTGGCTCATGTGCCAAGGACTAGAGGTCAGAGGATAGTGAGTCAGATACAGATTATGAGAGGATGGATGATCGTTGCCAGAATGTCCACAAGTATGGAATTCAGACCATACTCCTAAGGAAACTCCCTTTGTATCAGATTACAAAATGGAAGACAGTTTCACAATACTGGGAATTCTAGTCAAGCCAAGTTGACACATAACGTTAAACACAATATGATTGATGGACTCATTGCCCAAATGTTTAAATTCAATCTACAGTTTCCTTCCCACGAGGTAAGTCTGAAAATGTCTCGAGCCCTTGGGTCTGTCCCAGCTTGGTCCCAGATTTTAATGCCGTGGAGTGTGGTCAACCTCACCCTGAATCACCTCAATAGCATAACTTATATGTTCCAGAGGATACACCATAAACAACAAAGACATTTTTGTCAAATTCCAATAATTCAGTGTTTATCTTCTAGGAGCCAAACAAAGATTAAGCTTCCCTTTTGGCCAATTATTTCTGTTAAGTCAGAATCAATTCTTAGTTGTCACTCCATTGAGTTTCCGAGACCATGAATTTCAGGAGAAGAGATTGTGTGGCTTTCATCCTGAGAAACAGCTAGTGGGTTCAAACCACCATATGGCTTTTCAACCAGTGATGCAGCTTTCTACCCCACCACGTGCCCTTTGGGGAGGTCAGATTTCTACTAGACACAGGGATGGGGGTGATAAGATGGAATTGTTGTTGTTGTTATGTGCCACGAGTCACCTGCAACTCATAGCGACCCTATGTACAATAGCCCTACACGCCCTACACCCTGCTCTATCCTGTGCTAATCTCACTGTCTCCGACACACCCATCCCGATTACCCCAATCATTGAGTTAATCCAGATAATATAACACCTCTCTGGCAATTTTAATCCACAAGTGGCTCTGAGGGAGAAAGACGAGCCATTTCCTCCAGTGCAATGCAAAGCCATGGAAACCCAAGGAAAAGTCAGTTCTGAATCACCAGCAGTAAGATTGAGTGTAGAGTTTCTCTCTTCTTTGTGTGTTTCTGACTGAAATATCTGGTCATGTCAATGATCAACTGGGAGAAAAGAAAGAGGGTCTTGGTGGCTAGCAATAAAAATAGAAGGTGTAAAATAGTCACTGTAGAAAGCAAGATAGCAAACAATGTGGGAACAGAGGAAAGTTTGAAGTTGATAATCACCCTTCTCTTCTTTCAGAATTATAATATCTTCAGTGATGGTATCCTGGAGTATACGGGTTTGAACCGTCAGTTTCTCTTTCGTCGCCTGGATCCTTTCACTCTCTACACGCTCACCCTGGAAGCCTGCACGAGGGCAGGCTGTGCACACTCCGTACCCCAGCCCCTGTGGACAGCAGAGGCCCCTCCCAACTCTCAGTTGGCTCCCTCAGTTCGGTCTGTGAGATCCACTAGTGTTGAGTTGAGCTGGTCTGAGCCTATTAACCCAAATGGAAAGATAATTCGCTATGAAGTGATTCGCAGATGCTTCAAGGGAAAAGCTTGGGGGAACCAGACAATTCCAGCCGATGAGAAAATTGTTTTCACAGAATATAATACTGAAAGGAATACATTTATGTATAATGACACGGGTTTGCAGCCATGGACACAATGTGAATATAAAATCAACACTTGGAATTCAGCAGGCCATACCTGGAGCTCCTGGAATGGGGTGAAGACAAAACAAGCCCCTCCAGAAGGTGTGTCTCCACCCGAGATTGCCTATGTGTCCAGGCATCCCCCAAAACTGCTGATTTCCTGGGTCCCACCAGAACAATCTAATGGCATTATCCAGTCTTACAGGCTTCAAAGGAACGGAATGTTCTATCCCTTCAGCTTTGATGCAGTGACTTTCAATTACACAGATGATGAACTGCTTCCTTTCTCCACATACAGTTATGCAGTCATAGCCTGCACGAGTGAAGGCTGCTCCACCAGCAAACTCATCAAAATCCAAACTCCTGAGGCTGCTCCAGAAGGGGTCAGCCCACCAGCTCTTCAGAGCATCAGTGCCACGCAAATAGATGTGTCCTGGTCACCACCATCAAATCAGAATGGAGTTATTACTAAATATCTTCTTCGATTGGATGGTGAGGAGTACCACCCTGGGCAGAACCTCTCCATGGTGGTTTCTAACCTGCAGCCTTATACTCAGTATAATTTCTCTCTAGAAGCCTGCACCAGCGGTGGTTGCACAGCTAGTGGGTCGATATCTGCCTGGACATTAGAGGCCCCGCCACAAAACATGGATGCCCCAAGGTTGCAAGTCACAGGCTCGGAATCAATAGAAATCACCTGGAAACCTCCCAGAAACCCAAATGGCCAAATCAGAAGTTATGAACTTAGGAGGGATGGAGCCATTGTGTATACTGGGCTGGAAACGCGCTATCACGATTTTACCCTCTCTCCGGGCGTGGAGTACGGCTACACAGTGAGTGCCAACAACAGCCAAGGTGGGATTTTGAGTCCACTCGTCAAAGAGAGAACCAACCCCTCAGCACCCTCAGGAATAGAACCTCCAAAACTGCAGGGCAAGAACCCTCGAGAGATCTTAGTAACCTGGAACCCTCTAGTGAAGACCAATGGCAATATTGTCAATTACACCCTTTTCATCCATCATCTGTCTGAAAGAGAAACAGAAATCATACACGTAAACTCAACTCATAATTCTTTTGATACACGATCGTTCGTCGTAAACCAGCTACAACCGTTTCAGAGGTAGGTAACAACACTGCCATCTCTGTTGAAATGAGTACTCAGGCGGTTATGTAATAATAGCTATAAGACCAAGATGGAATGAGGTCCCCAACACCATCCACGTAACCAACAACAACGAGATCAAAACTTTCTGTATCTGGCGAAGCTAGTTTGTGTAATTCCTGAATAGAAAAATTCTTGGAGGTGACATTTTGAGTCAATCTTTCAGAGACCTTTGTGGTCTGGCGCAGTGTGCTGCAATGTGACAGTTCCCTGAGTCTAGTCCATTCTCAAAGCATACAGGCCTCTGGAAAGTTCTAAGAGCTTCATGTGGGGTCATCTGACCCGGGCAGTAAAGGAAATGAAATATTATTTTAAAGCATGAAAGAGCATCATTCGCTGTGAGCTAATACCAGCTGAGTTGTACAGAAACAAAATATGTCTTAGAGACAGCCATTCTTATTGATCTGGGTTCTTAGAGACAGCCATTCTTATTGACTCTGCTACTTCACTTCTTCCCTCACTAGGGAATTCCCTCAGTCTCCTAGACCATAGGAGGTTGCAAAGCTAACCCAAAAGTCATGCCTCTCTCATGGCTTGAATCCACAAGTGACCCCTTGGGAGAAATTTTTAACCTTGAAAATTCACTGTAGGGTCAACTAAAAGTTAGTTCTAACAACAGAAATGAGCTGATATCAAAAGTTTCTCAGCACGATGCCACTTTGCCAGCTCAGGTATCCTCAGTGGTTCCCTCCAGACTTTGCAACACTGTGATGTGTATTGCTGTTCACACAAAGGGATCATCCCATAGCCTCCGCTTCCAGAAGTTTAACAGATTGCTTGGCAATTTTCCCCAATACTTTTAAAAATAACTCACATCCCCAGAGAGAAGAGTAATAAAAGGTACTTTATGCTTAAAATTTAGTCAAATGAAGGGAACCATTTAAAAAAATTAGAGGGTAAAATTGTGTTGATTTCCAACCAACCACCCTACATAAAGTTCAACTATTATTATAATCTACTGATGTGTGGGTTAGATCCCTCCTGTAATTATCTCTGATATGCAGTGTGGTTTAAATGAAACATTCATGGTCTTATGCATCTACCTGTGATCATTATTTCGGGTCACATTAAATATTAAAGAGAAATTAAAACTTCTGCAGGTATCCACCACAGCTAATCCACAGACGTGGTATGTCAATTGGCTTTTATCTTGCTCTAATTTGGGGCTTGAAGAAGACCCACCTTTACTGCAAAACTGTTCATTTTACACGGGTTCTTCTTTTCCTGACTGCTACTAACAGGCCTTTTTTAAAAATGGTATCAATTTGCTCCCTTTGGAAATTGCTGTTCAAAAAGATATGTAGAAAAGAAAGGGGTTATCCAGATATGGTAAGGACATATTTTCCAGACTGAAGTCTCTTTATTTTCCATCCAAATTAAAGATGTGTCTTTGATGATGTAATCAATATAATTTCCAAATCACTCCTTTCAGAAGTTGGAATTTCTATTACCTAGTGCTATCATCTTTTTTTCTAAGACTGGTTCCTCCTGGCTATGTGTCCAAAGTATGTGAAAAGGAGTATCCAAATCCTTGCACCCAGTCTTTGGAGAAAGATGTCTTGCTTGGAAGGGTCAAGGGACAGACAGCACAGGAGAGGAACACCCTGGAGGAGATGAATTGCCACAATAACTGGGGTAATGAGGGTGGGAGTGTCAGAGATGGTGACACTGGCTCAGGGTATAACAGAATTCAGAGGTATTGTGCATAAGGTCACTGTTAGTCGTAGTCAACTTGACGGCACATAACAGACAACAACAATGCTGCCATAACAAAACATCACTAAACTGGATGGCATATAGAGATCAGAAATCCATTGTCTCGTGTTCTAGAAGCTATGACTCTAAGTTTCAGAGATCCATGTTCTTTCCAAAGGCTCTGAGGGAATAGCATTTTTTTTTACCTTTCATTCTGAGCTTTTGATAATTCCAGGCATTCGATGGCTTGCAGTTCCATAATTTTACTTTTTTGCCACTGTTTTCCCCTTTTCTGTGTCACTTCTCTTTTGTAAAACACTGCAAAGATTATATTGGCACCACGTTCACCATTAACGTCTTTAAAGACCTTACTTTTTAGACAAGTTCACTTCACAAGGATCTTGGATTAGAATTTCAGCATACCTTTTAAGGGGAATACCACTCAATCGATAATATGTATCATATAGTTGGTTTTGGTAGTCTTTTTGAAAACAGGCGGGTATTTAATAAGTATTTGCAAATTAGTATGACATGCTTAGGAAGGAGAGTGAGAACAATTTCAAGCAGAAGGAATCAGATCCAGAATCTTTAAGCCACCCCAAACAGTCCAGGAAATGATTAATTCATATGTGGGTGCTCAGTCACTTCACAGGACTTCTTGGAGGTTAGCTGTAGATTTGTTCTCAAAGGCTGTTGCATCTTAACTTGGTCTGATTATGATGTGATTACTGAAAGTAGATAAGTGTAACAGAGGAGAGGAGAGAGGAGTAAAAGAAGGCAGTGAAGGATGTCACAAAGGAAGTGCCTGTGGATGTTGTTAGGTATCACAGAGTTGATATTGACTCATAATGACCCTTAAGTGGCAAATAAAACTTCACCCTTAGGGTCCTTGCATCGCCAGGATTCCTCTCAAAGGACTGCTCTCAAGTGGATCTAGTGGAGTACAACTCAGTGATCCTGTGAAACAGAGTAGAGCTGCCCTGAAGGCCTCTCAGGGCTGTACTCTTTCCAGAAGCAGATGATCACTTCTTCAAAAGGAGCAAAGGCAACATGACGGAGACTGAGTTTGACCTCCACGAACTCCACAAGGAGAAATTGTCCATGTCAAAGACATCCACAACACAAAACCAATTCCCGTGACGTCAGGCACGTGACCTGTGCTCCTGCACCTCTTTCTACCAATCCCAAAACTGATCTTAATGCTTTACCTAGTGAAAAAAATCCATTGCAACAGCTCACAGACCACACAGAGTCATACTCAGTATTATGAGGTGTACTAGAGATGTCAGAAGGCTGGAATTCAGGTTAGCAGCAGGATACAGTCAGTCAGGACGGCTTCTGAAATGTGCTCTCAAGCACATGGCTGTAGATCAGTATTACAAAACTCCTAACCCTGCCAATTGTGGCCTCTTCCCATCCCATCACTAGTCCTCCAACAAACTTGGGTGAAGACTCATAGCTCTCGTTCCATGGAGTAGCAGTCCCAAGGTCAGCTCTGCCTCATGTCAGGTCTCTGGTTTTCAACTGTGGCTATTATAGCTGCTGGTCCTGGAGGCCCAGGTCTGAGCCCCAAAGGATGTGCAGTCTGCATTCTTTGCTTCTTTACTGGTGGTAAGATTTGCAAAATCTGCCACTGATTCTGCTCAACTTAGTGATGATACTAGCCAGTTCCCTTCTAGATAGCCTACCACAGCCTATTCATGTGCCCCTGCCCATCCACATGACAAAGTCAAAGTCAACCAATGGATAAGAAAGCCATTTTCAACAGTATACTCTTAACATCACAACAACTTTCTCTTGTAGAGTGACTAGTGGGCTCAAATATTAACCTTTTGGTTATCAGGTAAGCACTTAATCACTATGCAAGCAGAGATCCTTTTACCAAGTAATACAGAGAAATAACTGAGACAAGGAAACAGAAAGAAAACAGGTAAGAGAGTGGAAAGTAGTCATCAGAGGAGGAAAGAGGGAAAGAATAAAATGAAGGGAGAAAGTCTAGAAACAAAAGAGGTAAAAGATGAAAAAGTCTGAGCCTGTGAAAGATAGTTACTGTTGTTGTGGTGGTGGTGGTGGTTGTGGTTGTGGTTGTGGTTGTTGTTGTTGTTAGGGGCTAGCAAGTCAACTGCTAATCACAGTTACCCTCCGAAAGACAGATCTGAACCTTGCCTTACCGTGCACTATTCTGATTGCTACCATTTGTGAGCATATTGTTGCAAAATCAATCCACCTTATGGGTGATCTTCCTCCCTTTCTCAAACTCTTCATCTTTCCCACAATGATGTCCTTTTCCAATGATTGGCCCCTCCTGACAACATGCTCAAAGGATGTGAGACCAAGTTTCACCATCCGCCCCTCTAAGGAGCACCCTCGTTGCGTTTCCTCCAAGACTGACTTGTTTATTCTTTTGGCAGTCCATGGGATATTCAGTACTCTTCTCCAACACCACAATTCAAAGACATCTATTCGTCTTTTGTCATTCTTATTTGTTGTCCAACTTTGAGTGCAGACCAGCTCTGAGAGAGACAAACAATTGGTTGGGTTTAAATGAATGGTGATAACGTGTCTCCCTGATTGATAATCTAGAGTGGAGCTAGATTAATTTTGTCCCCAAAAGATCCTTGTGTGACATGAGAGCCTGTTTTAAAATGTCAGAGATCATGTTCCTTCATAGCCTCAAAATATTTGCAAGAAATAATTTAGCCCTGTCTACAGAGGTAGGAGGAGCACAGGGCAGCTGGTATGAGTGTGTCCTCTCCTACTCTTCACCACTGTGTTAGGTGATTCTACAGAACACCAGAATGTCTACACTGAAAAGAATAATTTACTTATGAATGATTTATTTCTTCTATGCATTCCTATTTAGAATGATTATGCCCACCCTTTCAAACAGATGAGAAACTTCCCTTCGGTTTAGAAAATGGACATTGAAAAGACTTTTATGGAAATAAATAGTGAGGCATTTGAGTTTACTCTACCTCATATCAGCCTTCCATAAGATATGTGAGCCTATAAATCTTTGTGGGAAGAAACCTGCCATCATTCTCCAAGGAGAAGATGGAGAATATGAATCTATGACTTTTTGGCTAACTGTACGGCATGCAATGTAATACACTACTAGAGTTTTTTTCTGTGGATATAGAACTATTTTATTCTTTAAAAAGGTAACGCTATTTATAAGAACAGAGTCCCTGTATAGTACAAATAGTTAACATAGTTAATTGGTAACCAAACTGTGGAGGTTCAAATCTATTCCAAAGCACATGGCAAGAACTTCCAGGATCTCCACTTCCGGACAATTGATCCCTGTGAATCCTATAGAGTATAATTCACTTTGACACACATGGTGCTGTTATGAGTTAGAATCAACTCAAGAACATCTGGTTATATATACGAATAAAATTAGTTAGAATTATTTCTCTTTTTTTTTATTCTGTGAAACACTTGGACTTTTAAAGATTCTTTTCATGAAAATCTATCTTGCTGATAATGAGTCATTTCTATCGTGTGTCCTAAAGGTATGAAGTGCGAGTTCAAGCGTGCACCCTGCTGGGTTGTGCATCTAGTGACTGGACATCCATCTTGACCCCAGAAATCCCACCTCTGATGCAACCTCCTCCCCATCTAGAGGTCCAGATGGCACCAGGAGAATTTTACCCCGCCGTTTCTATCCTGTGGGCAGGACCACGTGAGCCAAATGGGAAAGTTTTATATTATGAATTGTACAGACGACAAATAACGACACAGTCTGGAAAACCGAGCCCAGTGCTAGCCTACAATGGAAGCTTGAACACATTTATTGATTCTCGACTATTGCCTTACACAGAATATGAATATCAGGTAAGAAATACATGTTGTCTGCCATTTAAATGGACGTCATGTGCACACATCAGTTCCTGCCGGTAAAAGCTGTTTACAATTTAAAAAGTCACTTGGAGCTTTGGTGGCCCTACTGGAAAGAAGCTGTTCTGCAATCCCCCAGGCACATACAGTTCATGTTCCCTGGAAGAAAGATGGGCAGTCACCTCTCATGTGCTTTACTGCCTCTGAAAAGTCACCAGAAGGTCAGCTATGGGTCAGTTCTGACTACACAACAGCAAACATAGAAACACAAGCCTTAAGGAGTTTAATAATATTCTTTAAAAAATTTTAAGAAATAAATGAAAAACTGAATACCATATTCACTTACCTTCTTCTTTTTCTTGTTTCTTGATCCATGAGATGAATGCTTGTTGTTTTAATGTAGATTTCAGGTGAAATATTTGCATTTCTTATTGATGAAGTTGTTTTTACAGTTAATCTTCTTTCTCCCTGTCAGTGACGCTAAATGATCACTTTGAAAATAACTTGAACCATGAGAGAATAAAACCTATGGCAAGCAACTCTAGCCTCTGTGTCTGAGTATGCTAACAGAATTGTGAAGGATGCTTACTAATCTTCACACAAGAAGTTTGTATGAAGATGACCTGTAAAAAAACCCTAAAGTCCATGTACTCTATAACTCCAAGACAAAAATTATTAAGCACTGAAAACTGTTAACTAAAATATTGCTGTTCACACCCACCCAGGAGAGCCTCAAAAGAAATGCTTAGTGACTTATTATTTTTTTTTGTCATCAGAATTCATTTGCACTGTTACTGTTTTATATGTCATCAAGTCAGAAACTACTCATAGCTGACCCGCCAGAAGGTTTCAGAAGCTGTAAATTGCACAGGAGGAGATTGCCCACCTTTCTCTTGCAGAGCAACTGGTGGATTCACCTTGCTCTGGCTGGACAGTGCAACTCCTTACCACTACTTGTAAGGGTCATTAGTGGTCAGAGCGGCCCCATTTCCTGTCTTGGAATGATTCATTCCACTCCCCCACCCCCATCCATCTTTTTCTCAGGCTTTGTAAAAACATCAATTCAAGTGTTAGATGTTACTTAGCCAGGTGGTGGGTGCAGATGTCTCTTTGATGCCTTGATCTTAAACAGTGTGACTCAGGATGGAAGAAGGTGAAGGTCACCGTCCTCATGAAGCATCTTTATGCCGCAATCCAAAAGTTTCCCTGATCCCTGATCCTTGCAAGAATTTTTTCATTTATTCCTTTAATTCTACATCCTCCTAATAAGTCCCTTTATTGCTTAAGTCAGAATATGTTTTTCTTGGTTGCAGTTAAAAAAAAAAAGACTTGTTGACTGATGCAAGCACTTTCTATCAGGCACAAATGTCAAGTACAATGGTTCAAAAGTTAAGTTTGAGACATTTGTTGTGTTGGTGGTGGTGTATGTGTCATCAAGCTGGAACCTAGTCAGAGGTGACCTTCTGGAGAGTTTTCAGAGGCTGTAAATTGCATGAAAGGAGATGACCCATCTTTTTCCACAAAGCAGCTAGTGGATTGAAAAACAAGTTCCTTTGGATTGGCAGCACAATTTCTTATCATAGTAATAAAATCACTGAGCCATCAAGAGTACGGTCACAAATTGATTAACATAAAAATTATATGTAACACTTTAAATGAGGATGCTCTGGTAACCTAGTGGCAAGAATATGAACTATAATCCCAAATGCACACAGTTCAAATCCAACAGCTTCTCCACAGGAAAAGGATGGGCAATCTCCTTCTGCGCTATTAACAGCCTTTGAAAACCCCCTGGAGGGTCAGTTCCAACTCAATGGTACACAATAACAACATTTTAAGTGTGTAAAAATGCTTTAGACTAATAATGTATGAGTTAGTAAGAATTGAAAACACAATGAGATGCTTGAATGGTTCGAAGCTATAGACAGATAAAAATCCGCAATCTCTTAATTCTAACTCCAAATCTAAAATTCTCTAAAAACCAGTAGGTGGGGTTTGGTTTCTTTTTCAAGTTTGCCACAATTAATTTGAACATATTTAGAGCAAAACCCAAATGTTGGTTTTTATTCTTGTATTTCAAGCTTGGCACAATACATTAAGACATATTTAGTACCAGAGCTCTAGTAGTTTACTGGTAAGGAGGTGTGCTGCCAACCCAAAGGTTGTTGTGTTGTTGTTGATTGCCTTCAAGTGGAACACAACTCATAGAAACCCTATGAACAAAATGCATAAAGCCCCTCTACAACTATAGACACTTACCAAAGTCAATAGAATTTCCGGAGGCATGTTGTTTAGGAAATGGATGCCACTCCTGCTTTGAAACCTGTCATAGAATGTTATTAGCTGAGTCACCTGCAATGTATAGAGACCCTATGTACAGTAGCTCTGAACACTTCCCTGTCCTGAGCCATTCTTACTAATTCTGACACACCATCCCCCATCACCCGTTACTGTATCGATCCATCTCATCCAGTGTCTCCCTCTCCTGCACTGTCTGTCCACCCTTCCAAGCATGATTTATTCTCCAAGGACAGATCTCTCCTGACCATGCACCCAAAGTAAGTGAGGCGGAACTTCAAAATCCTAACTTCCAAGGAGAGACTTGGTTTCAAGACAGACCTATTTACTTTCTTGGCAGTTCTTGATGTGTTCAAGACTTTTCTCTAGCACCACAACTTGAAGGCATCTATTCTTCTGTTATCCTTAAACATTGTCCAACTCTCTAAAGCATAACAAGTAATTGAGAAGACCATGGCCTGGATTGGGGTACCTTTGTATCTAGACTGACATCATTTCTCTTCAGCGCTCTGGAGAGGTCCATGACAGCAGATTTTCCCAATGCAATTTGTCTTTTGATTTTCTGACTGCTAGTGTTAAGAATGTTGATTGTGGATCTGAGCAAGCTGTACTTGTTAACAACCTCAATCTCTTCTCCATCTAATATGGTGCTGCCAATTGGCCCAGTAGTGACAATCGTTGAATTCTTGATGTTGAGCTTCAATTCATATTGAAAACTATAGTCTTTGACCTTTTGCAGCAAGTACTTCAGGTTGTGTCATCCACATATGTTAGGTTGTTAATGTGTCTTCCTCCCATATTGATACCACACTTCTCCTCATAAAGCCCTGCTTCCCAAATGATCTGTTTTGCATACAGATTGAAAAAGTACAGAGACAGAATACATCCCTGATATACTCGTTTCTTGATTTTGAACCATGCAGTGTTTCCTTGCTCCGTTCCGAAGATGCTTCTTGGTCCAAATACAGGTTTCGTATAAGCATGATCAGGTGTTCTAAGATTCCCATTTTCCTCAAAGTTAACCACAATTTATTGCAACAATTTATTATGCTCCACGCAGTCAAAAGCCTTTGCATAGTCAATGAAACAGATATAGGCATTCTTCTGGTACTCTCTGCTTTCGGCCAAGATCCATCTGACATTGGCAATAATGTCCCTAGTGCCACGGCCTCTTCTAAACCCAGCCTGTATTTCTGGTAGTTCTCTGCCAATGTACTGTTCATGTCTTTTCTGGATAATCTTCAGCAGGATTTTGCTAGTGTGTAATATTAGTGATATTGTGCAATAATTTCCACCCTATCAGTCACTTTTTAAAAAATGGGTATAAATATGGGTCTCTTCCAGTCAGTTGGCCAAGTAGTTGTCCTCCACATTTCTTGGCACAACTTGATGAGCAAATGCAGGGCAGCATCTGTTTGTTGAAATATGTCAATTGGTATTTCATCAATACCTGCTCCTTCGAAGCAACCTGAAATTCCTTTTTCTTCACTATTGCCTCTTGCTCATATGTTGTTTCTTGAAATTCTTCTGTGTCAGCAATTAATTTTGGTACAGTGACTCTGCATACTCCTTCCATCTGCTCTTAATGCTTCTAGAATCATTTAATAATCTGCCAGTAGCATCATTTAATAATAATGTGTGACTGGCAAAAGTTGGGAATCAGGAAGAAGGATCAATTATCAGAAAATATGGATTTGGTGACAGAAATGAAGCTAAAGAAAGAATGATATAATTTGGTACAATCATTGACTTCTTCATAGGAAAAACTTTTTATAAGAAGCATAAATGCAGGCTATACACATGGATTTCACCTGATGAGATGCACAGAAATCAGATTTATTACATCTGTGGAAGGAACCATTGGAGAAGTTCACTATCAGCAGTAAAAACTAGGGCCAGGTGCTGACTGTGGAACAGACCATCAACTGCTCATATACAAGTTCAAATTAAAACTAAAGAAAGTTAAGTCATATCCACAGAAATAAAAATTTTACTTTCAGCATATCTCCCATCAATTTAAAAACCAACTCAGGAATAGGTTTGGGGCCTTGAACAATAATAAAGAAGACCAGATAAGCTGTGAAAAGATACCAAGAATATTGTTCATGAAGAATGCAAAAAGTCATTACAAAGAAGGAAGAAGGAATGACCAGAATGGATGTCAGAATAGACTGAATATTGCACTAGAGCACTGAGAAGCCAAAGTAAAGGGAAGAAATCAAGAAGTTAAGACGCTGAATAGAAGATTTCAAAGGGCTGCTCAAAAGGAAGTAGAGAGGAAGCTCCCACTCACTGGCTTTAAGTGTGGATCTGAAGGACACTTGGCCAAGGGTGGCCCACATCAGGCCCTAGTGGCTGACAGGACTGACAGGCCCCAGCTCCCAGCTGGAAACAAAGAAGGATGCTTCAATGATTTAGATCCTCCCAGAAGAGCTGTGGGTGAGCATTAACATTACTGGTAAGTATATTCATTTTCTCCTGGACACAAGAGCCTACTATTTGGTCCTAAAAGCCTTCTGAGGTTCCAACTCTTCTCACTATTTCTTAGTTGTTGGAATTGTCAGAAAACCTCATAAGCAGTTAGTTCCTTACTTCACCTCTGCCTTGCATGCAGACTTCCGAGTTGTAATACAACCCAGTGGTAGATGGAATTTGCTCCAGGACTTAAGAACAATAAATGACAGAGTTGAAATAAAAAA